TACCTTTCCCATTCTTCGTAGATTGACTCCCCACTCCTTTGCCGAAATCCCTGGATCAAAGCTCTAGCATCGGCCGTCTTCTTTTGGGAATAAAATCTTCCCAAGAATGCTGTCGTGACATCATCCCAAGTGTGTAGAGAGTTCGGCTTCACCTCGTTCTCTAACCATTCGAGAGCTCTCCCAATAAGTGAAAAGGGGAAAAGCTTCAATCTCACGAACTCTTGATTCACCCCATTAACCTTGATGGTATTGCAGTACTTCTCAAATTCGTTCAAATGAGCCAAAGGGCTCTCATGCTTGGCACCACTAAACTGCCTTCTCTCGATGAGGGTGATCATAGCCGGCCGGATCTCGAAATCATTGGCCTCAGTAGTGGGTGGAGCAATCCCACTTGAAGCTCTATACGCCCCAGGAGTTCCCAACTCCTTAAGGGGTCGTGGTGCTGGCCGATTGGGTTGGCGCGGTATGTCTGCCATTGGAACCTGTTGTGTGTTAAGTTCCTTTCCTTGAGAGTTTGATGACGTCAATCGAGATTTACGATTGCTCTTCAAAGTTCTTTCGATTTCTGGATCGAAGGGTATTAATTCTCTCTGTTTAGACCTGCGCATACACACTAACCAAACCAATTAAATAGCAGGGCTACAAGTGTAGCCAAAAGGGAAAAATCTTTTTGTGCTTTTTTTTATGATGAACTAGACTCAAGAAATCAAAAAGCAATTAACAAACACCGTTCCCCGGCAACGGCGCCATTTTGACAAGGGTTAAATCGGTCGCTACAATCTAACTCTCAATCAAACAATACTTATACAAACACCCTATAACCAAGTACAATGGCAAATAAAGGTTCGGTCCACGAGGAACGAGAGTAATTGAAAATCAATCTTAAACCTAAGCTAGTTCAAAATCAATGGAAAAATGGTGTTCTAAAATACTACTAATAAGATGGAATAAATCAATAAACTAAGACACTAGGGAGAACGGGAATTCACCAAACCATCGGTAACTACGCAACAAGGAATCACAGAGACAAACGAGATATGCAAAGACTATATGTCTGATCAATATCATGTGATAGGAAGACAACGGGCAATACTAAGCTTGGATTTCTCATGCACTTAACATTACTCGATACATAATCAAACCACATTCAATAATGAAATACTCAATTCACAATCTCTTGTTCAAATCAAGGATATCATGCAATCAAATTCAAGATTCTAGGTTAGCTACTCCTATTATAATGAATTAACATGCAATCGCATATAATCAATTTAATCACAATCCGTTTATCAAAATCAATCCTCAATTACATAGATTACCTAGGCCGGGTTTCATCCCGAAACCCTAGCTAGGAGACTACTCACACATATTCATAATCAAAGCAATAATGAATTCCAAAAGCATAATAGATATAAACATGAATTCTGATTAAGGAATAATAAAGCTTGATTAATAAACAAGAATGAATAATACCAATTGTATTGATGCAAATCAATGGAAAAGTTCAGAACTTTGATATCCGTCGTCAATGAATAATACAAAGAATCTTCACAAATCTTGCTTCAAATCAATCCAAGAAAACTAAAATCTCTAGAAATATCTCTAAGAAAACTAATGAATCTCTAATACTAAGAACGTTCTCCAATAACTCTCTACAAAGGCTCTCAAAACTATCTCTAAAACTGTCTGAGGAATCCTCTTAAAGTTGGGCCTTATATACGTCTTCTAATGCGGAGAAGTCAAGCGCGCAATTAACCCTGGATCAGCACGGCCGTGCTAGCTTGTCAGTAAGTAAACCGGATTTCTTCTTCAAATTGGCACGGCCGTGCTAAAAATGGCACGACCGTGCTGAATATGCTCTAGCACGGGGCTCATACTGAAGCTGACACGGGCACGTGCAACATCTGGCACGGCCGTGCTAATGGCCTGCACGGCCGTGCGGGTGCGTGGATACTGACACGGCCGTGCTATTGGCTTGCACGGCCGTGCTGCCTTGCCTGGGGTTGCTTGTTTATAGGCCAGCACGGGTGTGCCTATGGTAACACGGTCGTGCTGCCTGTGCTCTGTAATCAATGCACGACACTTGAACTTCCTTAACTCCTCGGACTCCGGTCAAGGCTAGCTTGGTTACGCATCAAGGGCTCGTGATCCGATTAAACTCGGTTGATATTACCTGAAAACACATCAAAAACAAACCGAAAACCCGTGAAGCACGTAATATGGGGAACGTAAGCATAACAAGGTAATAATCGGCCAAAGCGGCCCCAAATACTTCCAAAATCATCCTAAAATATGCTCTAAAGCGCGCCCTAAAGTGCGCTTGTCAATGATGGGGGTAGTTTTACTATGTCCATTCCCCACTTCATGAATGGCCAAGGCGTCAAAGTTGGATGTAACTCTTCTGACGGTTTGTGTGTCAAAGGTGCGTGTTTTTGGCATGCTAAGCATTTCTTGGCAAACTCTGTAGCGTCCTTTCTCTTGCTGGGCCGATAGTATCCCATTATGAGAGCCGTGTTGGCTAAATTACTTCCTCCTGAATGATTTCCGCATTCTCCGCTGTGTAGGGACTGTAGGACCTGCTGTGCTTCCTCTTTCTCTAAGCATCGTAAGAAGGGACCTGCTACAGACTTCTTGAAGAGTACGTTGCTGATTAGGCAATATTTTGAGGCTTTCAGAGCGAGTGCTTAAGCTGCTACTTTCCCTGTTGGTACTGTCTTGTCTAAGAGGTATTCTTTCAGCGGTGTTGTCCAGCTACCGTCTTCCTTCCCTGTAGAGTCTGCTTGAACTTCGTAGACGTTCATGGTTGATTCTTTCTCTATGGCTGGAGAGAGTACGTGTACTAGGGGAATAACTCCAAATTCTTCTGGGTTAATATTTGATCCCAAGTTTGCCAGGGCGTCTGCTTCAGTGTTCAAGTATCTGGGTACCTGGTCTATCTTAAATTCCTTAAACTCCTTAATGAGCTTCCTTGTGACTTCTAAGTAGGCTATCATCCTGGCATCCTTTGCTACGTATTCCCCATTGATTTTATTTACCATGAGTAAGGATTCTAAGATTACCTCTAGGTGTTGTATCTTCATATCTCTTGCGACGGTTAACCCTGTGATTAGTGCTTCGTACTCGGCTTCATTATTGGTGGCCTTGAAGTTGCACCTTACTGCCTGTGCTATTTTGTCTCCTTACGGTAATGTCAGTACTACTCCTAGGCCTACACCGCGTATGTTTGCCGCGCCATCTGTATGGAGTGTCCACTTCTGTGTAGCCTTTGGTTCTTGTAATGCCAATACTTCTTTTTGTGCTTCTTCCTCAAGGGCTGGGCTGAAGTCTGCTACGAAGTCTTCCAAAGCTTGTGATTTGATTGCGGTTCTGGGCTCGTATTTATATCGTACCTACTCAGATGTAGGGCCCATTTCTCCATCCTTCCTGACATTTCTGGCTTTCTCATGATGGCTTTGATGGGATAGTTGGTTCGTACTCGTATGGAATGGCTTTCAAAGTATGGGCCTAGCTTTATTGAGGCAGTAACTAAAGCTAAAATAATTTTCTCCAAGGATGCGTACCTCGTTTCCGCACTGAGTAAGGTTTTGCTTACGTAGTAGATTGGAAATTTCTTTTTATCTTCTTCTCTTGTGAGGACTGCACTAATCGTCCCTTCAGATACTTCGAGGTACAATTGGAGGGGCTCCCCTTCTTTAGGTTTAGAGAGAATCAACGGGTTAGCCAAGTATTCCTTTAGCTTTTGAAATGCTTCATCGTGTTCTTGTTCCCACATGAATTCATTATTTTTCTTCAGTACTTCATAAAAGGCTCTGTTCTTGTCTGACGATTTCAAAATGAACCTGTTTAGTGCTGTAATTTTTCCTGTTAGGCTCTGTACATCTTTCTTTGACTTTGGTCGTTCCAGGTCCAAGATGGCTTTGACTTGGTCTGGGCTGGCTTCTATTCCTCTTTGTGTAACCATATACCCTAGGAACTTTCCCGACTGTACTCCGAATGTGCACTTTGTGGGGTTTAACTTCGTGCCGTACTACTTCAGGATGGCAAAGGCTTCTCTAAGGTCCCTGACGTGATCATCTGCCTTCTTGGATTTAACTACCATGTCGTCTATATAGACCTCTATTTTGTTTCCGATTTTCTCTTCAAACATCTTGTTCACCAACCTTTAATATATCGCTCCTGCGTTCTTCAATCCGAAAGACATTACCTTGTAGCAATAGATTCTTTTACTAGTAATGAAAAAGGTTTTCTCCAGGTCATCTTTGTGCATGAGGATTTGATTGTACCCACTGTATGCGTCCATGAAGGATAGAAACTCGTGTCCTGCTGTGGCGTCTACCATGGCATCAATGTGAGGTAGGGGGAACGGATCCTTTGGGCACACCTTGTTGATATCTGTGAAATCAATACAAATTCGCCATTTTCCGTTCTTCTTTCTGACTACCACCACGTTAGCGAGCCATTCTGGGTACTTCACCTCTTTGATCTTTCCAGTCTTCAATAGGTTTTGGATTTCTTCATTGATAATCTTGTTCCTTTCTGGCACAAATTTCCTTCTCTTCTGCTTTATTTGTGTATGCATTGGGTCTACGTTCAGTCTGTGAGTGATTACGTCTGGGGGGATGCCTTTCATGTCTTCATGGGTCCAAGCGAACACATCTTTTTCTTTTTCTAAGAAGTCATAAATTTGCTGTCAGAGATCTGACTTCAATTATGACCCCATTTTGACCTTTTGATCTGGATGGTTGGGGTTTAACTAGACTTCTATGGCTTCTTGTTCCTCTGCTATGCTCAACTTCTCTTGGCCAAGCTGACCCTCTAATTGCTATGCTGAACTCTTTTCTGTAGATGTTGCTTTTAGTGCGATCTTGTAACATTCCTTGGCTTCCTTAGGATCTCCTCTGATTTCTTGAATACCCCACCTGGTAGGGAATTTAATGACCTGATGGTATGTGGAGGGAATGGCCTTCATCTCATGTATCGAGGGTCTGCCCAAGATCATATTATGATGACAGAGTGTCAATCACCAGGAACTTGACTTGTAGGTTGACTCCTTTTTCATAGGTAGCTAATGTGATCTCTCCACTTGTTTTCTTGGTTTCTCCACTGAATCCTACTAGCATTGTTGACTTGTTGATGATGTTCTTTTCATCGATGTTCGTATGTTTCAGAGTATCAAGCATGATGATGTTTGCAGAGCTTCCATTGTCAACAAGGATTCGCTTGATCATGCAGTTTCCAACTGGGAGTGAAATCACTAGACCGTCATGATGGCCTTCTACTGCTTCTCTTTCTTCAAACATGATGGGAATGTCCATTTTTGGTTTTTCTCTTCTATCTGGATGATCCTTATTGCTTTCCTTCGCATGCCGCTTCGCTGCTGAGTATGTCAAACCACACACTTCTGACCCTCCTGATATGAAACAAATGGTTTTGACAATTGGAGGAGGAGGTGGGGGGCCTCCTTGCTTTGATTCTCTTTCCTTTCCTGGAGCTTTGGATCTATCTGACAGAAGTTCTTTGAGATACCCTTTATTCAAAAGGTAAGCAACCTCCTTTCTGAGCGCGACACACTCATCGGTTGTATGGCCAATATCTGAATGGAAGTCACACCACCTGGACGAATCTTTCTTCTCTCCAGGCTTATCATTCTTTTTAGGCCATTGCACAGTATCTCCCATCTTATTCAGGGTCCTAATTACTCCTGCAGGGCTAACATTGAAACAATATTCATGTAATTAAGGTGGGAGTTCAGGATCTTCCCTCCAATCGGAGAATTCTCCTTCGACAGCATTGACTGATCCTTCATCAAAGCGAGAACGCTGATATGGCTTGAATCGATGATCTATTCTGGGAAAGTTATTGCTCCTTCTTGACTGGCATCTGGCTCGGGAGTCTCTCTTGCATAGGTATCCTCTTCAAATCTACTTGAGCCATAGCTTTGACTTGTACTTCTTCGAAGGTCGTACAGGGATATTTGGTCAGCTCCTTGTAGAGCTCACTATGGTCTAGCAGTCCTCTCCTGAATGCTTCGATTGTTGTAGGAGCATCACATTTGTGTATCCTAATTTTTCTCTATTGAACGTGTTAAGATAGTCCCTCAAGGATTCACCGTGTCTTTTCACAACACGATACAGATCTAAAGATTGCTTCTCGATTTTCCTGCTACTAGCAAACTGGATCTTGAATAGATTCACCATTCCTGCAAAAGATCGAATTGTCCCATTATCTAAATTAACGAACCAAGTTAGAGTTGGACCTGACAATGTGGCTCCAAAGCCTTTGCACATGATAACCTCTCTTATATCTCTAGGGATTGAGCTTGTCATCATCTTCTGCTTGTAGAGGGACACGTGCTCATGAGGGTCTATTGTTCCATCATACATAGCCATGTTGGGCGTGCTGAACCTCTTTGGCACTTCTACCATGGCGATCTCTTCTGAGAAAGGAGACTCTATATAGCCATCTACTTCTTCTTTTTCCATGGGCTTTGACATTCCAGGAATTTTGGCGATCTTGGCCTCAAATGCTTTGAGGTACTCCTTAACTACCTTTTCTATTTTTCCCTCTTCGGTTCCTTCCTGCCTGCTCTTCTTGAGAGTTCCTGCATCCAAAAAGTCTAGGTCTATGGGCGTTTCCCTGCTGTTAGATCCTTTTTCCCCGTTAGGGGTGTGAAAGGTTCCGGAAATGTCAAGCTGCATGGCTATACTTTTGGTACTCTTTTTGGTGTTAACAGTCTTGGATGCGACTGATTGTATTTGGCTGCGGAGGGCTTCATTTTGTTTGGTAAGACTGGTGAGTTTGGCTTCGGTTTGAACCTTTTGGGCCAACAGTGTTTCGATTTGGCTTTTCTGCTTGTCTAAGGTTTGTCGGAATGCGTTCATTCCTTCATTGATTTCAGCAATGGTAAAGGGTACTGGCTGTCCAGTCATGGTGTTTGTTTTGGTTTTTGGCGAATTGGTAGGTTAATTTATTATCAACCCCACGGTGGGCGCCAAATTGTTTAGGAAAATCTCAGCTAGGACATCTAAGAATTTGCTAGGTTTTGAGGGGTAATAACAATCATTTCACCAATAACATATAAAGCGATTAAGAACGATAATAAAACAATAAATAACTAGTAAGCAAACATTAAGTATTCAATAAGATCAAAGAGATAAGTTTAGAGATACAATACTGAGTAAGGACATACCTCCTTGTTCAGTAGGGACACAGATCCGTAGACAAAAGTAGAGCAAATTGCTTATATTGAATTATGTGCGAGCGTACATGAGTGTTATAATGTCTTACTCTTCCTATTTATACCTAGGGATCCCTAGGGTTACATAGATATTCAGAATAAATTTGAAATGTAGAGGATCTTCTTGATTTATTCTGTTCCCTGTTCTGTAGGTTGTAGGTGTATTCTTGGCAAGTATCTTCTTGATTGATACTCTTGATCGTGCTTTCCTTGTTTATTCCAATCAAGTTGTTTGGTCTATTTTGCTGAATTCTTTGATCTTGGATTGGTTCCCTAAGCATACTAGGTCGTATATTAATACGGGCCCAACATTGCTTATGAAAGTATTCTAAAGGGATTTCTCACTTTAGAAATATAGAGCTACCCTCTCTAGAAATAGAGAGCTACCCTTGAAGGGTGTTTTTGGTCACGGTGGTTTACTTTTCTTACCCTCCTAGATTCCCACCCCATAATCATCATTGCGTTTTTGGGTAAATTGTGCTTGAGTGTTTTTTTGCCGCTCTGTGACTTTACCCTGGGCTGCCATCTTGCACTAATAACTGGTGCCTCTCTGAAAGGCCAATTTCTTTAGATTAAACAATCATTCCCTCGTTAACGGCATAGTTCATTATACACTCTTCTGTTACTCTTTCTTATTGTCGTTACTTGGGTTCGTCTTGCAACTATCTCATTTCCTCAAAACGGCGTCTCAATTAAACATATTTGGTCTCTTTTATAAATTTTTTGGGTTTCTAAATCATCAATTGATTACGGCGTTAATTCTTTTAACCAAAGCTAATCTACATGCTTTTTACACCATCAACGAGGCAGATATGCGAAGCGCCTCCTTGTCATGGTGGCTATTATTTATAGAACATCTATTCTCACAACCATTCCACCTCTTCTCAGCTCTTTTATCACTTCTCTTTTCACTTCTGTAATTCCACTTTGTTGGTTATACCCCCATAATTCCTGAGCGCAGTAATTGTGTTAGGAACATTAACAGGTCAGCTGCTCTAGCTGAACTGCAACCTTATAGGGTTGATGGAAGCAGGGCTTTCTAGTTGATGAGGGATTACACGGTTTGAGAGTGCTTAGGGTTGAATTAGACACATTGTAAGCTAAGGTAGCCCGGTTTAAAACTCTTGAGGACATTTGAACCCCTAGTTCACGGGAAAGTGGTAAGATTGTGTTGCTCTCCGTAGTGAATAGGATTCCCTTGGTTAGTATTTGCTATATTTCTTATCTCGTGTGAGCGTCATTTGTTCTAGCCTTCATCATTCTTGTGAGCGGCACTTAGGATCCTTAACTATGCATGTCTTTATCTTTGTGTTGGCGTCTAGCTCCCAAGATCGTGACCATATAACTCTAGAGGAGGAAGAGGGCATTTCTTCTTATTTTTCTTTGTTTTCTTTGTATTTTGTTACAAATTTGGTTTTCATTTTTACATTCACCCTCTTGATAACCAATTTGATCCTTATTTCCCCTTTCTTGACTTAGCCATATTACAAACCTATCGGCCTATGTTCTACCAACCCTTGTAGTTAGTGAAGCATTGGCTTGTGAGGTTCGAGTTTGATAATGTTGAAATTGAGCAAGAAAGTTGTGAAATTGAATCAAATAAGATTTTGAAAGGCTATTCATGAAAAGAGTACGCATAAAGGCTTGGCAAGAAAGTTGACAGGACTTGAAACTCATGAAAACCAAGCAAAAAAAAAAAAAAAGTGAAAAAGAAAAATTAAAAAGATTGAAGTAATGTGGTGTAGTTTGTTTTGAAAGGTTGTAAGTTTGAAGAATAGGTTCAATTCTTAGGATGTTCTTGAGAGATGGCCACTCTTACGCTTCACTTAGGAATTGCCACCAAAATTTTCAAATTGTTTCCCAACCATAACCCCTAGCCATGACATTACAACCCTACTTAAGACCCTTGGATTCTAGAGGGGCATGGTCAAAGGACGGTGGAGGGAGATAGATTTCAACCCTATGGAGAGAGTATGCATAGTTGAGATGTCGGGATAACCTTATGATTCCACATAAAAATTTCTTTTTCCGGTTCCCTCGAGGAATCATGAGGAGCTAACTTGGGGATGATTTGAAGCTAGTGGAGAGGACCGTCTTGGTTGGGGCTAGGGCAGAGGATGAAATCATTATTTCTCTACGCTTAGCTTAGGTTTGTCTCCTTCAACCATGAGCATCTTAGAACGTGTTCCCCCTCTTTGAATTGAGAAAAGTAAGCATTCTTTGATACATGTCCCTATGTTGGAGTCCATTTGGAGAATTTCCCATCGTGAAGCTTGATTGATTTTCTTAACCGTTGTCATATTATGCTCGTTGTGTGTGTTGTCTTTTTGTTTTAGTATTCCTTGCTTAAGGACAAGAAAAAGGCAAATGTGGGGGATTTTGATGAGTGGCATTTATGCCACTTTTCCATCCTTTTTCTCTAAGGATTCTCCCCTCATTTGCACTTGTTTGAGCCTTTTTAAGCATTTTTCCCTTAGTTTTGCCTTTCCCTTTCTTTTCGCGTGTTTTCTTTCCCTTTTCTGTTTTTGTTGGTTTTTCTAGCGTTTCTTTGTCGTTTTGTAGGTTCTTGGCCTTCTTGGATGAAATTTGGAATGCATGACGTGCCGTGGAGAAGGAGCATGAAGCTCAAGAGAAGCTGAAGGAAGGAGGAATCAACTAGGTTCGGTCGAACCCCCTGAAGGTGTGGCCGAACTAACTTTGTGGTGCGGCCGAACCACCTTGGCAGTTTCAAGCTGGAAAATGGCCGTTTTGCAGGAGTGACTGAACCTCAGAAGTTCGACCAGACCAAGATCAGGGGAGGATCGACCGAACCTACTGATGAGTGACATTTATGTTACCCTTAGGGGTAGTGTATTGGTCTCTTTTCTCCTGTTTTTCTTAGGTTTTCTACCTCTTTTCTCCTCTTATGGCTTCCTTTTCTTTTATGGATGAAAAGTATGCTTATTTGCGCTTGTTTTGATAATCTTTATGCATAATTTTATCATCCCCATGCTCTCGTGGTCTTTGCTATCTTTTGCAGGTTCCATGATGGTCCTAAGCACGGTAGGAGGCCCCTTGGCCAAGTATGGAGGCATGGACAAAGACAAGAGGAGCAAAAGGGAAGAAGAGGAAGCAAGAAGAGGAAGTTCAAGAGGAGGTGTGGCCGAACCTCTAAGAGGTTCGGTCGAACCAAGGTGTGGTCAAACTTTTGAAAAGTTCGACCGAACCTCCAAGGCAGTTTCAACCAAGTTTTCAGCATGTTTACAGGAGGGGTCGAACAAGGAAAGTTCGACCAAACAAGGATCAGGGAGGTTCGACCGAACCTACCCTGAGTTCGGCCGAACCTACCCTAAGTCCGACCGAACCTACCCAGAGTTCGGTCGGACCTTTTCCCGTTTCAGCTGACTTTTTGCGGAGCTTCCTAAGAAATTTTGTAAGGGGTATAAATAGTTTTTTTTTTGC